ACCGTCTTGTGTCTTTACTTTTAATAGATGTCCACCAAGGAGAAGCTCATTGGCCATGTGATGAAGGAGGAGCCTGTTGGCAGCAGGTGCAAAGTGACTGTAGTGGGTGTTGGCATGGTGGGCATGGCCTCTGCTGTCAGTATCCTGCTCAAGGTAAGAAGGGTAGGAGGGGAATAAACTTGTTAAAATTAAGAAGATTGCTACTGGCCTTATTTGGGGTTTGAAAAAGGTTTACACAATAGGATTTTACTGGGACAGACGTAAAGGTTGTGATGGCTAGAGCAATAGATTTACCAGATCCAATGACATTTACCAGAAATGATGTGTTTGCTGTGTTATGTAAAGTTTGTTTGGTTGTTAAAATGACCTGTAATATAATAATTAGGACTTGTGTGATGAGCTGGCACTGGTTGATGTGATGGAGGACAAGTTGAAGGGTGAGGTGATGGACCTGCAGCACGGATCCCTCTTCCTTAAGACGCACAAGATTGTAGCTGATAAAGGTGAGAATTGACAAACTGTCATTCAGTTTACTTACTGACTAACCTGGAGTGGAATACAACTTTTTATTTATTTATTTTTTTCCCCTCCATCTCTTCAGACTACAGTGTGACAGCCAACTCTAAGGTGGTGGTAGTGACTGCCGGTGCCCGCCAGCAGGAGGGCGAGAGCCGTCTCAATCTGGTGCAGCGTAACGTTAACATCTTCAAGTTTATCATCCCCAACATCGTCAAGTACAGCCCCAACTGCATCCTGATGGTGGTCTCCAACCCAGGTTAGACAAGGAGTCTACATCATGTGGGGTTTACATGGTCCAATTCCTGTTCGAGGCAGATTAATGGCTGATAATTTCTTATTTGGCACCTTCCCAGTGGACATCCTGACCTATGTTACCTGGAAACTGAGTGGCTTCCCCCGTCACCGTGTGATTGGCTCTGGCACTAACCTCGACTCTGCTCGTTTCCGCCACATCATGGGAGAGAAGCTCCACCTGCATCCTTCTAGCTGCCATGGTTGGATCATCGGAGAGCATGGAGACTCTAGTGGTACGCTAGCGACATTATTTGTGAAGTGTATACTGTCACGTGCAGTTCAGAATTTCCTGTTTCAGTGGGGTTTATTTCTTTCTCATAGTGCCTGTGTGGAGTGGCGTGAACGTTGCTGGAGTTTCTCTTCAAGGCCTCAACCCAAAGATGGGGGCTGAGGGTGACCCAGAGGACTGGAAGGCAGTGCACAAGATGGTGGTTGATGGGTGAGTGTTGCAATTTATTTGCTGGAGTCTGTCAGCCTCTTCAAACGTACTGATTTTTGTTTTTACAACATGTATAGAGTGACTATACTATTCCCCATGAAACGCTGTGTTAGACTAAAGCTCACTTGCTCTCTTTGACTCCTGTGTCTAACTGAAGTGCCTGACAATGATTAACGCTGATTCCATAAATGGCAGTAATGACGCCGTATGACCCATTGTCTGAAAGTTGTATGCAACTCTCTGCAGACAGGTTAATATTGCACAATCATTTGTCTGCCAATCAGTAGACTTGTATTGTAATAGCTGGGTCGTTAGAGTTCAGCCATGTGCAATACAATGTTCTTTGTGTCCCAGTTGAGGCTTATCATTTCACTTATCTTTACAAAGATGAGAGAAATGCACGTGTTATTTTTCAACAGAAGAAATGGTATCTGTAAACGTGCACCTCTGTATGGCTAGTAGAACTCATTTTTCTTATCTTTTAAAGGCAGTTAAATATTTTAATTAAAAATAATCCATTTTTTATCCCTGTTTTCAAAACTCTTATGGGCAACTCGTCAAATTTAAGTTTCTCATGCAAATACCAGTGGCTGCAATCAATGTCTACTATAAACATTTCTCCTTTCAGTCTGTTATATGCCATGCTCATTTTTATTTCTTGTCCATGCTGCAGAGCCTATGAGGTTATCAAGCTGAAGGGCTATACTTCCTGGGCTATTGGTATGTCTGTTGCTGACCTAGTGGAAAGTATCATGAAGAATCTGCACAAAGTGCACCCTGTGTCTACACTTGTCAAGGTAGATGAGGATTTCAGTCTTTATTTTTACTTGCTGAAAAGAAAATGCTATACTTTCCGCAGACGTGACAAGGTCAGCTTGTAACTATCACATTTCCTTGCCTTTTACTGTATAGGGCATGCATGGGGTGAAGGAGGAAGTCTTCCTGAGCATCCCTTGTATCCTGGGCAACAGTGGCTTGACAGATGTCATTCACATGACGCTGAAGCCTGAGGAGGAGAAGCAGCTGGTGACGAGTGCTGAGACCCTGTGGGGTGTACAGAAGGAGCTCACTCTGTGAAAAGCACGCCTCTGAATTCTCCAGTTGTCCCTAAAATGACACCAGACACCATTTGACTCCCTCCTACTTTCCCTCTTGTGTCTCTTATTGTAATTGGTTGATGTCACCTGTGAATTTCTTAAAAGGCCAAATGCTTTTAACTAAACCACTCAAAGCTGGGTTTACGTTTGAGAGATTCACATACAGGTGTCATTTTCCTTTGCTTCCTTCAACCTGGCCTTGATCTTCCATGAATGACTTTTTGGAAGTGCATGCTTGTATCCTTAGAAGTCAGCCTGTGTTGGAGAGCAAGTATTTGTCATCCATTTGTCTTCTTTGAGATCGTGCAGTCTTTGTGCATATATATTCTGTGTACTGTATGTTACGAGTACTGTTATTGCTTTTTGTGTACACTCCTAGGTCAGTCTGTATGCATTCTGTGGCCGTTAAAGTTATGTTTCTCCACTTGGTAATCTCTGTTTATATCTTGGAGTATAACAGAGACATTCCATTCTGTATGAGGAGGGCTTCCTATTCACCCACAGTAACACTGCTGCATATGTCACTGGTCCAAAATCTTGTGATACCAAAGTACCTTATATTGTAGTAAAGCAGACTTCCATAAACTTGCTTGGTAATGAAGCCTTCTTAAAAAGCCTAACCACAAGTGCACTGACAAAATACTTTAGAAAGCAAATTTTATGGTGCACAAAAAAAGAAGAAAAAACTGGCAATGTTTACATCTGATAAGGATAAAATGTGACTGCCATAATATAACTCAGATAACAGAGAGCCAGTGGAAAAGGGTTGGGTTATGACTCATAAGACTGCTACAGTCCATTTATATATTTAAAAAAAGTTGCTTGTGTACCCTAAATGTTCTAACAAGGTTTTGTTTTTTTACACCGCCTGACTCTGGAAAAGAACATTGAAAACAAATTCTATTTATAAATGTTAGATCTATTTATGTATTAATGTTACAATAT